ACACCATTTGAGGGGAAAACAAAGAGCACTTTTCAAGACGACTCCCAGACCGGCTGGACGCTCCCCCGCCAGTAGGGATTTTACATTTGGCAACCCTAGCTCCTCCATGCCTGGCAGAAGATAAGGTGCAGAGGCGAGAGGTGGGCAAGCAGAAGAGGCACTCAGCCAGCCACACAAGATGCGTGCAAAGAAACTCCCGCCACCCCAAGCTTCAGGCTGCCTCATTAAAGGAGTGCGGAGGCCAGACTCGCAAATGAGAACAAGCAACCTCAGGGTTCGTGGGTCGTATTTTGGGCTGTGGAACCGGCTCCATTCCTGGAGTTCTCTCGAGTTCCTGTGCTTTTGGTTTTGCTTTTTGCCAATCCGCCTCCCAAGACTGCTCCAGGTGCTCCGGCCTGAGGGCTGCTGGGGCCTCCCGCAGTTTGGCCCCATTATATCCTATGGGCCATTGAAGTCAATGGCGAAAACATAGGGTATATTCTGGGGGCTGGAGGGGAGGGGGTTTGTGGGAGAGGCTCCAGAATCACAGGGTAGCTGCTGGAGCCTCTCCCCAAGATACCCGCCATGTTTCAGGAACATGGAACCAGGGGGTCCAATTCTTCGGGCCCCAAAACAGATTGCCCCATCCCCTCCATTGTTCTCTATGGTGGGGGAAAAAGTTTCTTTTTTCCCACCATAGAGAACAATAGAGGGAATAGGCCGTCAGCGCCTACAGTGGAAGAGCCACACTCAAGGGGCCAAAGAGCCGCATGTGGCTCTAGAGCCGCAGTTTGCCTACCACCGAGGTAGGAGGTGGTGTTAAAAAAACAAAAAACCTCCACCTGTGAGTGACCCTAGAGAGCTGCTGCTAGTCACAGTGCACAGGAGTGACCCTGACAGACCAGAAGTCTTATTCACTGCAAGGCAGTTTTTGTGTTCATTGCGTATGCCCCTTCCTACCCTGAACTCCCAACTAACAGGAGAAAGAGTCTGCTTTTGGGACGAGACACAGCTCAGTGGTAAAGCATCCCCAGCCGCACCATCCCCAATCCCCAGCAGCACCCTCAGTTATGAGGCTCAGGTAGCAGGTACTGTGACGACACCTCTGTCCAAGACCCTAGAGAGCAGCTCCCAGTCAGAGTAGGCTATATACTGACCTTGACAGACCAAAGGTCTGGCTCCCTATAAAGCAACTTGGTGTGTGATACAGGCTGCACCTGAACATGGAGGTTCCATTCAAACAGCTTGGCCAAGAGCCATCACTATATTACCTAACAGCCACTGTCAGCCAGAGCAGACAATACTGACCTTGCTCGACTACGGGTCTGACTGGGTATAAAGGGGCGGGG